GTTGGACTAGATGACCCACAGAGGTCCCTTCCAACCCCCACCATTCTGTGATTCTGTGATTCTGTGAAATAACACAATGAACTTGCCTCTGCACAGCTCCTTGGCTAGCAGTAGCTTCTGATGGGTTTAGATGCATTTTCGTGGCTACATACCAAATAAACGACTGAATGTGCTGCAGTGTGAACAGTCCTGCACGGGCACTCATCTCCTGTTCAGAAAGGCAGAACAGGAAACACAAAACCGCATCAGAAAATGTATAATCATAGCATAATTTAGATTGGGAGGGACCTCTGGAGATCGTTCCACTCAACCATGCGCAAAGCAGGGTCAAGTGAGGTTGTTCAGGGCCTTGTCTGGTTGAGTTGCGGATATCTCTGTAGGTGGAGATCACACAACCTGGTAACTTGTTCCAAAACGTAAGCACTCTCAGTAGGAAGAGTTTTATTCCTTGTAACTAACTGGAATCTCTCTTGTTGCATCTTGTGTCCATTACCTCTCGTCCTTTTGCTGTGCGTCTCAAGTAAGAGTTTGAGTGGAGCGAAGGAGAAGTTACAAGTAACCTCCACGCATTCCTCCTCTATGGTGGAATAGAGGTGGAATGGTGGAATTCCTCCTCTATGGTATGATCACCTTACAGCATTGCAAGGGCTTTCAGGCAAGGAACAGCAGCCACCAAAATTGAGTGTGCTTTACTGCTTTTAGCGGGGAAAGACAAACTCTTCAACCCGCTAATTATCTTATGGGGTCTGAAGCAGGGAAGCAAGTGGGTGACCTGTTTTCACATCCACTGTGCAGCAATGGCCAACTCGCGCTGTCCTGGCCAGCAGAAACGGTGAGGGAGCATCAGCTCCTACTTTGGCATTTGGCGGAGCCTTTCCAGCATTTGGCTGTCCAGCCCTCAGTAGTTAATGCACGCGCAGCCAAACAGAAGAGAGAAGAGCCTGCTCTCTGGGAGCTGGACTAGAGGAAGAGTAAGCAGTGCTTTCACATGAGGCAATAAAATTCCAGTAGGATTTGTTAAATCGTACAAATGATTGCTGGTCTGCGCTTTATATTTAAATAAGGGATTGATTAAGCACCGAATTTTCTGGTTGATGAGTAAAGCTGATTTTAAAAGTACCAGGGTCACAATATATATTCTAGGAGTAGTTTGTCTTTACAGCAGAAGTACATTTACACAGCTCAAACCTGACTTTTTTTCATTTTAGTTGAATTACATGGTAATTCCTTTGCTCTGTTCTATACTCACTGTCTGGTTTTGATTTTCTGTTTTGTTTCTTACAGCCCCAGCAGAGAGCTCTCCGTAAACATTTCCAGCCTCTAAAGCTGCTGTCCTGCCACTTGATTCGAAAGTGAACTTTCCTTCATGAAAAAGCCACAATAAATGGCACTGCCAGAAGGTGACCATGGAGGACTGAAGGCAAACTTGAAGTAAAATCAAGTCCAATCAAGATGATCCATTCTGGGAAGACCTGGTTTGCTGTGGAGTAAAAATGTGGTGCAGAATATCCAGTGCTAATTTGTTGAAAATGGTCATTGACAGACCTTTACCTGGAGAATTTCTTCCAGTTTTCATCACTGTGCATAACTTTTGAGTTCCCTTTAGGGGACTGTCTATGCCCTTCACTAGAAGTCCTGTTTTAGCATGGCAACTACTGGATTCTTTTATTATGTATGCAGATGGCATGATGTTTTAGGAAAAACTTATGGCAATTCTCCAATCTCAGTGGATATGTTCACAATATTACGCCCTGATAGGAATGTAAATGTCTTGTATATGTTAGTTTTGCAGTCTAATGGTATTCTGTTAAACAATATCAGCACTTCATATGTGCTTTCTGCACAGAACTAGCACAGTCCATATATATATATTGATCTTTTTTTAAAATACTGAGGATACTTTTCAGCATTTGTGCTGAGGCTGCATCCAAACTGAAGTCCACTACTAGCATACCTTCACCGATTCACCGTAGATTGTGTAGATAGATTTGCACGTGGCAGAGGTATGACTTCTTTCATTGAGACTTACAGAACAGCTGCCACAGAGGTAGCCAAGAACAGGGTAGGCTGAATGAGCTGTAGGACACTGTGTCTGCTCTCCCTCTCATCCGCCAAATATCATGGGTTCTCGTTTCTAGTGTGCCAATGTGTTTTCTTCCTTGTCGAGGGAGAGGGAAGGAAGAGAGCCTTTCTCAGAGATGTGCATGGCCCTGAGTTTGGTCTGTGATAAAACTAAAATAAGCTGGAAGAATTCAGGTTCTTTATGCTGGCAACCATTTATGTTTTGGGCAGGGCTGGGCAATCATAGTCCAAACCAAACTCTCTGAAGAAGGTAAAGTGTAAGACTATACTTCTAAGGAGCAAGACACTCCCTTTGGAGAGGGCAGACTTCTTCATTAACTTTTTCCACTTTCTATCCAAAACAGTATTTTGGTGGGACCTGGGAATAAGCAAATGGTTCCAATAAGCCTTTCAATATACTGTAGCAGGCTCAAGACTGTTGCATTCAATCTGAACATATTGTTTTTTGTTCAGTCTCTGAATGACTGGCCTCATCACTGGCTGTATCACAGCTGGCTGTGGTACTGTTTCTTCCATGGGGACTGAGTGGAATTAGTGTCTGTCCCTCACGTCAGGACCTTCTCGTCACACTCTTTATAATGAACTGATGCCATCAACATACTGAGGGGACTTACCTATTTGTTCCTTCTTTCTTTAAAATCAAAGGTAGCTTTTTGGTGTATTTAAAGACCATCACTCTCTCCAGCCTAATAGACAGGTACTATAGAATTGCTGTCAGCATATATGCCAAACTGTGGGTGAGATGCCGTACTGGTGTGAAGATGCAGCGATGGAGAGAACGTGCAGCTACATCAAGTCAAAGGGACCTTTTTAGAGCAAGCTCCTGTGTTATAATTCTTAAAAACTATTGTACAGTTCATTGGTAGAGAATGGAAGGTCAACCACTGAGGGTGCCCGTACAACAAACGTAAATATCTTTAGGGCTTAATTTTTTTCAGTTGGTTTTGGGCTTAGTTTTCAGCTCTCCACCCATCTCAGATCCAGCCTGTTGGATATTTCTACAGTATTTAGTCCAAAAGCAAATTATTTTTACTGATGACCAAGATTTTCAGAAGTTGCTAGTGATTTCTAACGGTTTGGGTCTTTCTGTGGGTTCTCAAATGGAGCTCCCAAGAATTACAAAGCAGTAAGCTTCTACAGTCTCTTTCTGAAAATCCTGGTCCCTAATTTATAATTAATTGGTGTAAAAATTCTCCTTAAGACATAAGAATCTTTGCCAATGGCAACATTTGCACTTTTTAGAGCTTTTCGTAGAGTAGCAGGTTGGAATCTGATACCAAGAGGCCCGGCCGTGCGCATGGCACAGGTCCACTGTAAGCTTCAGCAAGTTTTACAGCTCTTTCTGCTACAGGTTTTAAAAATGCGCTCTGGCAACTGCCATCAATTGTTGGTACAGCAATTAAAAAACCCACTTTGATACAAGTTATTTTAAAAAGAAGGCGAATGCGATACTTCTGCATTAGGAATTCTCTTATTTTACTACCCAGTGAAAAAATCTGGAGTAATTTGAATGATAAAAGAAGAGTTTATCAAGAGAGAGTTATCTTAAAAGGGTGTACGAGAAGAAGTTGAGTTAGGCAGAGAGCCACTAGAAGCATTTTTTGTATCAATGTTAGTTTTGAACATCTTCCAATATATGGGCATGAATTTAGATGTGTGCACTTCTCCTGTTAAAACTGTTTGTTTTAAAAGCTTCCCAGGATTTTAGCTACGGTGACCTAGAAAAGCAGTGTTATAGGCCCTGAGAAATGTGAAAATGAAGTCCAGACTCTTGTGTAGCCAAACTGGGTGAGCAGTCTGCTGTAGGTGCCTGTCGGACAAGACTCCTTTGAGGCTGGTGTAGGTCTCTGTCCTACAGCCAGCCTGTGCATGTGGATAACTACAAGTGAAGTTCCCCCGAGCCCCGTGACACATCTCACATGTGTAACTGTCTGCCAGAGCCATACGGAAATAACTGTACTTTTTGGCTTGTATTTAACTATTCATCGTGTTTGGATTTTTTTAATCACTGTTATTCTCCCAAAGTAGGCCGTGCTTCCTCAGGGATATTTATGAAATTGTTCTACATCTCCTGAACAACTATCTGGATCCCAGCATATTCTTCTGAAAACTTTTTAATATAAATAAACATGCAGGAGAGATTTTTGCTGTTATGAATGGGGGCAGGTGCTGTGTTCTCGGAAAGGCTATTGAGTGCAGACAATCAAGTCTGTTGCATTTTTTATGCCGAACACCTTATTAATAGCAGACACATCCGCTCTTGCCTCGGTCGCAGGAACAGTTCAGGGGAAAGAATGCTTTATCTCTAGTCAATAAATCATTTATGTCGAGAGTGCCAAAGACCAAGTCAACATGAAAGGGAGCGAATAAGTTATTCCGGCAAAGGAAGTGAATTTAAATACGCTCAGAGCCATTAGTTTGGTGCAAAAGAGTAGGAGACTAATGCTATTTTCATAAAACAGCAATTATCAGCCCTGTGGAGATAGATAAATTCGCAAAGGCCAGTGCTGCCGTTACATTGACCTCTAGTTATTATCTCTGAAACAAAACAGCCTTCCTCCCGTGCCTGGTTCCTCTCCCGGCCGCTGCGCTCACCTGGTGTCTTTGTGTGGAGACGGGCTGCAGCTTCAGGCCCCGCTCAGGAACGCTGACAAAGACTCAGCCATCTCAAGTGCTTGAAACCGTGAGAAGTCCTGTGCTGGAAACCCAAAGAATTGCTCGTCCCAGAAAACGCACTGCAGCTGAAAGCATCCTTGGCGCTGTTTTGTTCCTTGTTCTTTTCCATCTGTGTGGCTTTCTGCGCCTGAACACCCACCATTTGTTCTGTTAAGGGAAATGCAGGAAAGTTCTGTGAAAGGAAATGACTCTGAAAAAGCTCCATGAGTTCTTAGGTTTTGCCCGCCCAGCTGCGTGGCGATGCTCTACTGGTGGGTTCGTCCCTCCTTGTTGGTTCCTTAGGGTAAATGTTGTCACTTGACAGCAACTGCAGTGCCGCTGAGGAAATCAAACCATTAAAAATGACAAAATTATGGTTTTGCTTTGCCCTGAATTTTCAGAAGACTGCAGGCCCGACCCCTGGCAGACTGACACTGGCCCTGCTCCATCAGAGTCCCCGGAGATGTGTTGATTAGTGCCAGCCATGGAGCCAGGCCTGGGGTGGGTTTTTTGTCATCACTAAAATTGCCCTCTCTCCACCCGCCACAAAGCCACAAGATCACAGTTCTTCAGAATTGTCTCAGGCAAGCAAAGTAAAATCCTGCATCATCTTTCACATTGGCCCCCTTTTAACAACTAACATCTCTGCCATCAGAGTCTCCTTGAACAGCCCCGCTGCAGGACGGTGCTGCAATTGACCCTGGTATATAGAGACTGTGGTCAATAAGATTTTAATTTAAAAAGAAAAGGTCTGATATAATTAAAATGGATGAGTGAGAGGGAAAGTACTACCAGCATTACTTGCAACCTCCTATAGTAAAATTCAGGAGAGTTATCTGGAGCACAAAAAAACCCCACCAACGTAATGCGTGGGTGATTAGGCAGGCTCATGAGGATAAATCAGCAAGTAAGAAAAGTAGATGACTGATGAGAGAAGCCAAAAAATGTATGGGCAGTCAGTGGCCAATAGGTTAGGGCTGGTTAGACCAAAGGCTTTACATATATCCTAATATATACCCTTGCAGCTGACGTTAGACAGGCACGGCATAGCGATTACTCACGGTACATCCAAAAACCAACAAATATTCTTCTTTTGTATTTGAAAGCAGTAGAAGGAGGGAGTCAGATTGCACATGAAAATGTAATTCCTCCCACTCCATCAGTAATTACGGGTAATATTACGCAGCAACTATCCAAACATATTTTTTAAATTTGTAGAACCATTAATTGAATCCAAAAGTGAAGGAAAACTTGCCTAGAACTCCTCAGAACCTGAAAGCATAAAAGAAGCTTCAAATGAGACCAAAAACCCTATAATTCAAAAGAATGAGTGATTTTACCCAGAAAACTGTAGGCTCATTAGCTTCCTATCAGTCTTAGGAAAAATCATGGAAAGGTTGATATGGTGCAATTGTTAAAGCAATTAAAAATTGATAAAACCCTCCAAATTATTCTTATAGAAATCCACCATGCCAAATAAACTTGCTATCATTTTTTGTGATTTCAAAGGCTTGTTGATAAAAGAAACTCCGCTGGCATACTATACTTCGCCTCCTATAGACCATTTGATCCTGATAAAGAACAAAATAGCAAAACGCAAAATCAGCGTCGCCCGTATTAAGTGGATTAAAACTGCTTACGGCTAGATCACAACAAATAGCTTTAAATACAAAATTGTCATCAAGGAGACTATTTCTGATGAGCTCCTCCCAAAGTATCCCCCATTTTCAATATTACTCCCAGGGCAAGGGAAATTACTGTTGGCAACAGCCAGAGATGAGAAAAACAGGGGCGCGGTAAATAGTGATACGGAGCAGGTCTGGTAGAGAGCAACCGGAGGACGGCAAAGTCAGAAATCCGGGAGAGGTGGCAGCAAGTCCGACTGAGAGGCACGGGGAGTACATCGGAATAATGCAGTGGCTGTGAAGGCACGGTGAATAATCAGCCCCAGAGATGCTCTTGCCGGCTGGGGTGCAGGAACTGGCAATAGCGATGCTGGTCCAGTTTGTTCCGTTACTGCCCATCTTTCAAAAATGGTATCGACAACTTGGAAAGATTATTTTCAGTAGCTCCCAGTATCATTCAAGGGCAGGAAAACAGGTCTTATTATAGTGTCAGACTAATGAAGCTCAAGCTATTAATTTATCAGAGGCAATTTGAAGAGGTGACTTGAGCTCTGTCTGCAATCACAGTCTTCTACCTGGGCAGGGAAGTGCTGTCTGAAGGCAGGTAGCTCTTTTATTTAGAAGAAAAGGGAATGATGTGCTCTACTGGTTGGAAACTGATTTCAGGCTAGAAATTAAGTACAAATGCTCGACAGGGAGGATAATTACCCGTGGAGACAACTTACTTAGTTACCTGGCATGTTCTCCATCACATAAAGTCTTTAAACGTATGCAGAGTATTTTTCTAAGTCAATAAGCCCTACCTCAAACTGAAATCCAGGCTCGGTGCGGCAATTACTGGATGAGGTTATTATGCCTGTGTTATGTGAGGATTAGACTAGAGCAT